TTGTTGAATTTCATCAGGAATTTTTTTCTGCATCTTTTGAGAAAATCATGCATTTTTCTTTTATAATCTGTTAGCAATGTGAATTATGTTGATTGATTTTCTAATATTTAAACCAATCATGTATTACAAGTCTAAATTCAACCTTGGTCTGTCTGATTCTTGTACTCATTATTGGACTCAGTTTGAAGATACTTGATTTAGGAATCTCTAATGTTAGTATTAGCCTATTTTTTTTTATTTTAAATATATCTTTCCCTTTTCTTCTGGAACAGTTTAAGATTAGAATGATTTATTTCTTTAATGTTTTGTAGACCTGGCTTGTAAAATTGTTACTAGTGTTTTCTTTGAGAGGCAAACCTCTCTCTCTGGCTTTTTGTCTTAGGATGTGCGTGCTAGCTGGAGAGAGCAAGATAGACTTAGAGTGAGAAATCACTACCCCTGGGAAATGGCCATGTCACAGTCTCTCTTCCATTCTCCTTTCAGGATTTTGGATATGCATCCACATGTGCCTGACGTTATTGTCATGCCGCCAGATCTAGCACTCAAACTGGTCTGCCATGTGGGAGTTCAGTGCCTCAACTACCACACCACCTGCTGGCCTTTGAGGGACAATTCTTAACCACCAATTTAATCAGTTAGGTTATAGAATTGTTCATATTTTCTGTTTTAGTAGGTTGTACTTTCTTTTTTTAAAAATAATTATTTTATTTTTTTATTTATTCATTCATTTATTTCTTAATTTGACCAGAGAGAGACAGAGGATGAGAGCGAGAGAGAAAGGAAGTGAGAAAGCAAGCCACCAGATTCAGTACTCAAACCCTGGTCGGCCATGTGGGAGTGTCCGGCGCCTTAACCACCATGCCACCTGCTGGTCCCTGTAGGTTGTACTTTCTTAGCAAGTTGTTCATTTCATTAACATTCTTAGTTTATGGTATTAAATTTTTAATCCCTTATTTTGTGGTACTTGTAGTTTTTAATCTTTATTTTTTTCTTTCTTTAATTTTTTTTTTATCTTTTTTTGAAGGAATTATTTATTTAATTGCACTTGTTGTTATTTTATTTTTTTAATTTGACCAGACAGAGATGGAGAGAGAAAAGGAAAGCGAGAAAGCAAGATGTCAGGTCCAGGACTTGAACTACGTTCGGCCACGTGAGAATCCAGTCCCTTTAACCACCACACCACCTGTCAGCCCCTCTTTATATTTTCCAAAAAATCTGTTTTATCTGGGTCAGGTGGTGTGGGGGTTAAGGTGGCTGGATCCCACATGGCCGACTCTGAGGTTCAAGTGACATCCTGGTGGCTTGAGAATCATGCTGAGCATACATGTGTGTTTGTGCCCCAAATCTTGAGAGGGTACTGGAGGGGAAGCGAATGTAACGTGGGCATCTCCCCTGGGAGGGTGATATCTCACTTTCCCTCTCTCTTGTCTGTCTGTTGTGAGTACATGTGCCCTATAGCAAAAGTTAAAAAACAAACACATAAAAATGCTTTTTTTGGGGGGCCAGCAGGTGGCATGGTGGCTAAGGGGTTGGACACTCCTCCTTGGACGAACATGGTTTGAGTCCCAGGCCTGGTAGCTTGCTTTCTCACTTTCTCTCTCTCTCTGTGTCTCTCTGTGGTCAAATTAAAGTAAATGAATGAATAAAATAAAATAAAATAAATAATTCTTTAAAAGATGCTTTCTTTAATAATTTTTAGCTAAAATTGTACCAATTTAAGACTTTTCAGAATATCAAGCTTTGAAAAAATTTATTTAATTTTATTAGTTACTGTTATTTTTTAGAATTATTTTATTTAACTTTATTTAATTATTTTAATTTGACTAGAGAAGTACAGAGTGAGAGTGAGGATGAGAGAGGGAGAGAGAGAGAACGTGCGTGCGAAAGTGAGAAAACGAGCCGCCAGGTCTGGGACCACAGTCGGCCATGTGGGAGTCCATTCCTCCTAACCATCACACCATTGCCAGCTCCTGTTATTTTTTAGAATTTGACCAGAGAGAGACAGAGAGGAAGAGAAAGTAAGAAAGCAAGCTGCCAGATCCTGTACTCAAACCAGGATCGGCCATCTGGGAGTCTGGCGCCTTAACCACCACACTGCCAGCTGGCTTCAGAATATCAAGTTTTTTACTTTGTTTATGTTCTTAAAAAGTATCCTTCCCCTATTTCATTAATTTCTTCTTTTATTTTTTCTCATACTATTTTGGTTCTTTCTTTGTCATTTTAAAATTGGATGTCTATTATTACTTCTCTGCATTTTAATATAGCATTTGAGACCATGTCTGTGTGAACTTTAACTTTTTCTTTACCACACGTTTTGATGTGTGCTATTTTCACTTGATTTTCTACTGTGAATTCTTTAATTTATGAGTTATTTATTTAAAATTTTTTTTGTGCATATCAGAAAGACAGAGAGAGACATAGAGACAGAAAGCGAGAAATCACCCCCCAGGGGGGATGGCCACACCACAATCCCTTCTCCTCCGTTCTCCTCTCGGTATCTTGGGCACGCATGCACATGCGCCTAGCATGAGTTTTAAGCTACTAGATCTGGGACTCGAACCACGGAAGACTACATGGGAATCCAGTGATACAACTATTATGTCATCCGCTGGTCCCAATTTATGAGTTATTTAAAAGTTTAATTTCCAAACATGATGGTTCCTCTAGTTCATTTAGTTGTAGACTTGTAATTACATTGTGATTAGGCCAGTGGAGTTTGTATTATTTTAGTTCTTTGAAATATGTTGAGACCGTGATACATTTTTATCATTTCTGTTTATACTAAGAGAAAATGTGTGTTGCCCAGTTTTATATATGTCCAGTAGGTTGACTTGTTCATTGTTCAAATCTTTTATCTTCTTTTTTAAAGAAAAAGAGAGAACTGTTAAGTGAAAATTTTTTCTTGTAGTTCCATCAGTTCTTTAGAATGTATTTTTAAATTTCTACTAGTACATGAACATTTAAGTTCTTAAATTTCTTGTTGAATTGAAATTTTTACTTTGTATAATGATGATTTATATTAAGGAATACTTTTTGTATGTAATACTACTGTTTGATATTCCTGTACCTAGATTATCTTTTTGGTCTGTTAATTCTGTTTTTAGAAGATTGCTCCCTTACAGTTTTGTTTTATCTTAATTAAAACTCTTATGAATAGGCTATTGAATTAAAATATATAAATAAATTTTACATTTTTATCATAGGATATGTGTGTGGTCGTAGGAGAGAGATAGGCAGAAAGTGGGAAATCACCCATTAAGGAGAATTATCCATTCTCTTCTTGGGATTTTGGGCACATGTGCACACATACCTGGCATGATTTTGAAGTCACTAGTTCTGAGACTTGAACCACAATCAGCCATGTGGGGAATACAGTGCCTTAACCACCATGCCATCTGCTGACCCCATTTAGATTTATTTTAAAATCTCATCTGATAGTCTTGGTCTTTGTACTTTTAACTTTATTTATCTATTAATTTATTAATTCCTAGAGGTCTTATATGCTCTTCAGAGAAAGACAGAAAGCCAGAGGCAGAGAGAGAGAGAGGAGAAAGCATGGGGAATGGTCATACCCCAATCCTTCGCCTCTCTCTCTCCCTCCTCTCCAGATTTTGGACACATATGCACATGTTTCTAGCATGTTTCATAAGCTGTCCACTCTGGGACTTGAGCCATGTGGTTGGCCATGTAGGTTCTGGCTGCCTTAACCACAAGGCTACTGAGAGCCGACCTAGTGTTTGTAATTTCTAAGAACTTTTGAAGATGAATCCACTTGTGGTTGTAAGAAATAATACAGAGACATCCCACGTATGCTTTATCTAGTTTCCCTCAGGATAACATCTTGCAAAACCATAGTACAATAAAACTACCAGGATATTGACCTTGACACAATCAAGATATAGTCTATTTTTTGGTCAGCAGGTGGTGTGGAAGTTAAGGTGCTGGAAGCCACAGGTCCAGCTGTCACTCAAGTCTTGGACCTGGAAGCTTGAAAAATCACACTGGGTGTGTGTGTATGCATGCCCAAAACGAAGAGAGGTAGATGGAGGAGAAAGGATTGTGGTGGGTGGGGGGTGATTTCGGACT